AATTTAATTCAAGAAGCATACAGAAATGTGGATTGGCGCATACATTATGCTTTTCTAAGATAGTTTAGTTTGGTTGGTTTGGTTTGATATTATTGGACTTATATGCCACCCTTCTCCCAAAGGACTCAGGGCGGTGTACAATATAAAAACACATATGACAAAAGTTTAAAAAGATTAAATCCAATAACCTTCAATTGACAATTTAAGTCAAATTTAGGATTAAATTAAAATTAACAATTTAAAATTAATAATTTAATTTATTCTATTCAGGCCAGGCCGGCTTGCTGAAAAAAAAACTTTTTAGGGCATGCCGAAAGGACTGGAGGTCGGGGATTATGCAACGCTCTGGGGCAGCTCATTCCAAAAAGAAGGCGCTCCCATATAGGATGGTTGCCATAATCCTTCAACTTCATAAAATAAACTTTAACTTGCAGCAGAACAAAACCATTTGTCTATTGGATGCTTACCCATAATCCTTGACTGATATGCCACTTTTGTCAACGGTAATAGTGTTCGGGCCCGCTTGAATGATAATTCTTTCAATTGTTTTGTTCAGACCACGACGGAACTGTATGTTGAAGTCTGGAGAGGTTTCATCACAGACGGTAGCAAAGACATAATTACAAGTCCCGGAGAAATCATACAGGTAATGATCAAAGGTTGAGAAGTGGCCAGTGCTCCAGGTGGAACAAGAACCTTTGTCCAGAGCTTAAAGAAAAAAAATAGTAATGTAATGAGATTCCATGAGGCTTTAGAAATCTAACTAGTTATTTAGATACTGTTTTCTCTTTACTCTCATTTACTCTCATTGTCTTTTAAATTTCTTTTGTTTGCTTCTCATCTCAAGTTCAAGGCTATGATCCACCACATGCAAAGGCACAATGCCCAGGCATTTTGTCCAAGTGAAATTTTACTGAAGTTTTCCATATAAAAAACAAAGCCCCTTCCAATATTTATAAAATAATCTTTTCAAGGATGGAAATCATCCAAAAATTCGGAGAGCTGAATACCTTGGCTTTTGTAGAAACAAGCAAGTTAAGCTTGAATATTATAGATAAGGATGGTAGTAAGGGAAAACAAGAACAGAAAGGCTCAAGGAGGCTGAGCTTTAAAGGGACGTGCAAAAAACTGAAAAAAGTGTAATTGATTACTACAGGATTAAGTGTGTGAGCAGAGGAATGGGTTGATGAAGGCTGGGTAAAAGAAATGGTTAAAAAAACAAAACAATTGTTTTTTTACATTCAAAATTAATTTTAATAAAATGCAAACAACAACAACAACCCCCAACCCCAATCCCTAAATAATGAAAAATAAAGAATTACTTCTTGGAATGGGGGAAACTATATATGCTGTACTTGTTCTTAACTGTTACTCAAAGGCAATGAATGTTTAAATAATTTTGTGTACACTAAGGAGAGGTGTATATTACTTGCACCAATAGAGAAATCAGATGTATATTACGGGACCATGGAAGTTGAAGAAAAAATGATAACAGAATTAGCTGCAGTGACGGCTATAATGCAGACTTCTTAACTTTTCTTTTTCAGTTACCAGCACTTGTACCAATAAACTGGGTAGGCAAGCTGGGCAAGGCCTATTTTAGTTGCTTCTAGTCTTTCAGAGCCCTGACTACAATACAAAGACTGGAATAGACATTGCTGAGGTATCAGTAATGCCGGTCACAGAAATCAGGTTTTCTTGGTGTAAGTTGCTTGCGTGAAATACACACACACACACACACACACACACACACACACACACATATATACAGGGGTTTTGGCGTATTCGGGTCTTTTCCCATGTAAGATGGTGACGTTTCGATGAGGTCCCATTCGTTATCTTCAGGCTGGTGCCTTTGGCTTCGTGCCTGTGCAAGCAAAGCGCGATCAGAGCTTCGGATAAACAACTCCAACCCTACACAGAATCCATCACCACACACGTACAAAACTCACTCCACTTCATAGAAACAATAAAGAAACAGAACCTACAACCCAGCGACCTACTTGTGAGCTTCGATGTCATATCCCTCTTCACCCAAGTGCTTATAAAAGAAGCCTTGACAGCTATCTAGAACAAACACAACCCTCCTAAACACATCCTGGACCTGACCAACCATGGCCTAACCAACACATACTTTATCCATAATGGACAAAGATACAAACAGATAGAAGGAGCACCCATGGTGATCACCCCTCTCACCCCNAAAAAAAAAAAAACGAGCTGGTTTTTGCTTGTTTTTGCCCCCACCCCCCCTTTCAAGCCTCCTAAAGGCTTTTTATGCCCTTTAAAAAAAAAAAAAAACGAGCTGGTTTTTGCTTGTTTTTGCCCCCACCCCCCCTTTCAAGCCTCCTAAAGGCTTTTTATGCCCTTTAAAAAAAAAAAAAAACGAGCTGGTTTTTGCTTGTTTTTGCCCCCACCCCACTCTTCAAGCCTCCTAAAGGCTATTCATGCCCTTTAAAAAAAAATAGGCCCGTTTTCGCGAAAAACAGACCATTTTGGGGAGGTCTGCAAAGTGCAAAAACTTTTTTTTTTTTTAAATTTGCCTCTTCAAAATCTTGGTGTGTCTTATACTCCGGTGCGTCTTATACTCCAAAAAATACGGTATACCAGATCCAAATACAGAATGCCTCAGAAAATGCTGAGAAGCAATGAGGAAGGAAACCGTAACCCATGAAAATAGCACAGACTGCTCCAGCCGCCAGGATGGAAAACCCACAACAAATGAAAGATTGAAGATTGAGGCCTTGTGCTCATCAGCGTTGTGGACTGTGCTGAGGAGGGCAAGAGGTCAAGGAAAGGAGACCCTGAGACCAGAGGCTCCTCATTTCTGGGGGTACATGTTTGAAGTCTTCCCCCTTCGCTCCATTTAAGTTGAACCCATAGAGAATCGCTGTGCTTTTCACTAAATTGTGCCCCACCCCATTTGTATAATCAAGGTTAATTACTTCAGTACTTCTTTTTCTTTGCTCATAATAATTACATTGTAAGACTAGCTAAGCCAGTATCTTCGTATCTGGCATTCGAGTTTGCAGAAAATGATGCAAGTTGCATTTTCGAGAGCAGGGGAATAAAAAGAAAACCCTGATTCATCTTGTCTCCCGATAGCAATGGGAAGTAGGCTTCACAGGGTTTGCTGTGTACGTTTTGTTCAGTCCTTGGGTATAGATGGATCTTCCCTTGAAAGAGAATTTGCTTAAGCATTAGTTCTTTTAAGTGTTAGCAGAAGGATAAACATGGTTTGGCCACTTGGTGTCTTTCAGATGTAGCAGCCTATGAGCCTTTGCCCTCTGCCATTGTGGCTTGGATGTTTGGGAATTACAGCCTGAATAAGCTGAGTGATGTGTGGGTGCAATGCACGCTTTTGATCTCTCGCCACTACCCGGACAAGTCTTTGTAATTTTCTTGGCAAATTTCTGAAGTGGTTTGCCATTGCCTGTTTCCTTGGGCTGAGAAAGAAGGACTGGCTCAAGGTCATCCGGCTAGCTTCATGCCTAAGGCAGGATTAGAGCTCATGGCCTCCCAGTTTCTATCCTGGTGCCTTAACGACTGCACCAAACTGGCTCTCATTTAGTTGCACAGTAGTAGTGTGTAAAGGGTTCTATGTATGGAACAAACACTTTAGGGCAGGGGTGTCAAATCCAAGGCCCTGCGGTGCCTCTGCTAGCAAAAATGGGGCACCGGGAGGGGGGGCTGCGCAGTCCCCACATATACTGTTTTGGCTGGTAGGGTGCTGCAGGGGGCATCAATCCCATCTGTCATCTGTCCTTTCTCTCCCCCTCCCATTGGCCGGCCCACAGAGGACAACTGCACCGCTTATCCAGTCCTCAAAGAAATCCAGTTTGACACCCCTGCTTTAGGGTGATCCATGCCTGAACAAAAGTGTGCAAGTGTTGTCAAGTGTTCTCATTCCAGCATAGGAGAACAGTGTGCCACTCTCCTGTTTTTGGGCAGAAACAGTTCAGAGGAACAAGGAAAAATTTAAGTCAGCAAGTGAGGGAAGGAAGGTGCAGGGAAACTTAGGAGCAGGAAACCCAGAGAGATGGACCTTGCTAGGAGTTGCTGCAGGAACAGTGTACACCAGACTTATCACTTACCACTAAGATGCACTTTCCCCGCTAAAAGTGGGTGAAAATGGCATCTTATACACCAAATGTTGCCAAAGCCACACCCACCCTCTGGCCCCCATCCTTCGGCCGTTTTCGGCCTCCGGACACTTTGTTTTAGACCTGTTCCAGGCTGCAAGGATCGCCACAGCACATCACCGTCGATCGTCATCTCCATGCATCACATTTTTGGCCTCCGGGATTGGAGGCAGCAGGGATCGGCAGCGGAGGCGATGATCCCCACCACTTGGAACAGCTTGAAAATGCGATGCGCGTAGACAAAAACCTGGTATGCAAAGGCTGAAAAGGCAACGCACAGAAGCCGAAAACACAACGCACAGAGGTGGCAATGGACTCTGGCGATCCAGGCAACCTGGAACAGCTGATTGGTGGTATTCTGGGAGGCCGGTCCAACCACCAATCAGCTGTTTGTGCTAAATCAGGCTGCGATACTGATGGATGCTGCTAGGCAGAGGTAGAATTTTTTTCCTTGTTTTCCACCCCAAAAACTAATGTGCGTCTTATATTCTGGAACGTCTTATATTCCAAAAAATACAATACCTGTGCAGTTTATGTTTCATTTGAAACCCAAAACGAGCAAAGAACTATTGTTAATTCTAAAGCTTGGTTACAATGTCCAGAATGTGATAACGTATGATATCCATGTTGCATGGCTTTAGATGTGCCTGGCTTCAACATTACTTCCCAGGTCAGGAATTTCATGTTAGCAAATGAGTTGAGTGAGAGAGGAGAGAATGCTCACACCATCCCTGTTGAAATGCTCCATATGGAAATAAAACTGGCTGCCTGGAGGTGGGTGAATCTCTGCTTTTCCTTTACGGGCCTATCTTCAAGGCAGTGACATTTACTAGGACTGGTACACATAAGCTTTGTCTCTAAGGAGATTCTTAGTCCTTCCAAGAAGAAGCATCTTGGATGAGAAGCAAAACGTCTTCAAAGAAAAAACAAGAAAGGCCAGTCGCCTCTTCCAAAAGCACCTTTGCGACTGTCGTTCACTACCTTGCAAACCAGCATGTTTCTGGCTTGGTTTGAAGTGTTCCTGAGGTTGTTCAGCACCTGTGGTGAAGATGACCCCTGCCTAAAATGATGAGTTACCTTGAGATACTTACATATTCTATTGCCTGCCTGATCATTATTTTCTTGTATACTACACTCCCGTAATAACATCTGTAAACGCACTCATTTCGTTTTGGAGTCCGTCATAGCAGCTTGATTGCAGAAACAAGCACAGACTTGTTTGGGGCTACAAGATAGAGAGTAAATGCTAGATATCTTTTGTTTCTTCGTTGGGTATCTCAAACGTGCACGTAGTTTTAACCTGCTTTAAGACAGCATGCTGTAAAACTCTTAGCAGAGCCAAAGCAAAGTGATAATGGTAGAACTCAGACAAAGCTTACGGAGTGTAAAATATTAAGAGCAAACAAGCCTTGGTGCTGTTTATCTTACAGAGACAGGACCTGATATATTGGCTGAGGAACAAATCTTGGGTAGGATGTTGGTTCCAACCATTCCTCATAGCAATGCTTACGCATTCTTCTAAACTGCCTAAGGCAGGGAGAAAAACATTAGAAACAAGGAGGCTGA